TTTTTTTTTTTTTTTTTTCATTCTTATAAAGTTTAGTTTACGGGAATTGCTGCCAGCGCGACGGAATTCTTTTCTTTTTTTTTATATTAAAAATCAAAACGTTTTTATCTTTTCTTTTCTGCCTTTGTGGTAGTGCGAAAGCGGATGGGTTAATGTAATTTCTTGATTCTCCAGTTTTTAGAGCTGGGATTGCAGTAGTTTTTGTTTACAATAATTTATTTTATTTGCTTAGAAAGAGGCTATTTTTCTCGAGGATAAACAGGGAAAAATAAATGAAAACAATTTTCATTGTGAAGACTACAGTAGGCTATTTTACCCGTACTGTGAAAATTTTTTGAGGTGAAACATTCTGGTTTGTGGTTTTGTAAAGTGTTACGATTTTCCAATAAATCATTAGTGATACTTTCTTCTATTCGACTTGTGTTTTTTGCAAATTTTTGCAAATGTCAAATTTTTTGCATTTAAAATGTAGTCATACGGAGCAGAAAAATTTTATATTGAAATAATTTCTGTAAAGAGAGTAAGTGAAGAAGTAATTATTTTGTTTTTACTCTGCTTAAACAAGACAAAATTTATGTTTGGGGAATTTTCTGCCTAACGGTATAATGCAGTTGTGGCGATTTTCGATGGTGTCAAAAGAATTAAGTTTTTCTGCAGCTTACTTTTGGTTAGCATAGTGCAAATTGTGAACAGCTCGAATTTTGTTTCTTTAATATTGATGTAAAAAATTCTGGTTGGGGGGAGGGGAAGGGTAGCAAATGGCGCAGGCTACTGTACTATGTAACTTTGGGGAAATTTTTAAATTCGATCAGCCGAGAAATCAAATACAAGGGGTTGTATGCGAGTCGCTAGTAACGCCGTTTTTGCACGTTTATGTAGGTTATTGGAAAATGGGTGTACAGTCAAGCAACAATTGAGGGACGGATTTATGATATTAGATTTTAGTATGTTACCGTCACTAAGCAAAGTTTCGTCTCGAAATAGAAGTCTCCACGGAACCAACCCGCAGTCGAGAGATGCCGAATCTTCGCTTGAGCTTGAAGCCATTGCTGCTGTTCATGAACTTTCTTTCGCAGTACAGTCGATCTCGGTATCAGAAATGCTTCCAAGAACCTCCGAACTTATTTTTGTAAACGTAACAACGCTTGAAGGTTGGTCCTCTATAACAGCCCTCCGAATAGTTGTAGGATCAGTTGTTATTTGAAAACTGTATTCTTGCTCCACTTAGTTGAAACCGACGAAGATAGTCGACTGTTTTTTTTTTCAAGGTTTTTTTTTTCAGCTCACTGAAATATTTTTTTGAAGGGTTAGTGGTACTCCAGTAATTTCAGCGAAGAATAAATCAACATTCCATTCGAAAATCAGAAGTATCAGAGGCTTACTGAATTTTAGGCCAACCTTACTGCTTGGAATTAACAATGAAAGGATGGCGTGTTGCCTCGTTACGTCAGGACTGTATGCATGGAGATTTTACTAAACTTGAACTTTTCACTAATTACTACGATACGCTGTACGGGTTAATGGATTCATTGTCACCGAGGTACAGAGACCGTTTTAACGAGAAAGTCGCTGAGAAGCTGGAAATGTTGCAGGTGGTTATTTTATTCGTGTTATTCTTCTTTTTTTTTTTTGGTCGAACTGTTGCGGTAACATGGTTTTTTAGGGGAATTTTAAGTCTCATTTTTCTGGGGAGAGATCATTGTTTGTTGTAAAAAATGTTGAATTACCCCTTAACTATTCTTTGTTTTTCTTTTTCATAGAATTTTATTGGTTGAACTGTTTAATTTGCTCAAATATGCTCCAGCTTTTTTACCTTCGACTTCAGTTAAGTAAATGAGCAAAAATGGTACATTTTAGACTGGGGAAGATGAGGTGGTGTCTTCTCCAAACGTGTATTCTTGTACGCCGAAATTTGATGGCTTAGAATGTCGTTCCTTACCTCAGTCGCCATCAAAAGCTCCATTCTCTTTCTTGGACCAGGAATCACCAGTAGCCTTGCGACTAGAGGTGCCGTGAAGCTGCTCTGTGTTATGGTTTTTCGAACATTGTTATATTCAGTTTGGAGCAATTTAGTTATCACTGTTTTGATCACTTCATTTTAGAGAGAGAAAATTTAAAGTTTATTTTAGGATAGTTTGTGCATAAATTGAAGGCTGAACGTGTAGTGACATCAAAATAACTTCCAAAAAACATTCTTTTTTCTTTGAAATGATGTGCTTAAAATAGTAATAACTGAAGGTATATTATGTAATATATATAAAATATAACATAACACATA